GTGCTCACGTGATCTACAGGTGTTCGAGAAATGTTCAACAGGTGTTCAACTTGTTTTTGGTCAGTTTCTCAGCTCGGTGATATCCGTCGTTGATGAACAGGTGTTTGATGAAGAATTCTGCCGAAGAACATTGTTATGGCTTCGGACACAGGCACAGGTGTTCTCCAGCAGGTGTTCTGCCGGTGATACTTTATCATGGTTCCTAGCCTCATTTTTCAATATGGAAATCCTTTGATTCAAGAAACTGGAACATTATGAACACAGGTACTAGTGCATGACATGTGGTTCATGGTCGTCAAGGTATATTACCAGCAGCCAGGGAACAATCAGTACATATACAATAAATTTAATTAAGGAAAAAAAAGACACACCAGATGTTTTTTGAGTGCTAATGTATTCCCACCATCAAAGTTATATTTACACTTATTTACAAAATGTCCAAAAATGACCCTTGTGGGTTTAGCGCTTAGTTTTGACTGACAGAATGTCTAATAAATTTAGCAGATACCGAGAGCAAGAATGAGAAGTCACTGGCTATGGCTCATATACTTATTCGGAGAGAGAACTTGAGTATATTTTAAATCAATCTGAAGCAAGTGAGAGACTGATCTCCAGATCTGGGTTTAGTTACAAGGCCAACTAGCCTGGAGTTTAACCCCTCACCCCTTCTTGGTTGACAGTTACAACTGTTAGTTATTTTCGATATAGACGGTTGCCCCAACGCGTATATTGGTGATAAGCTACTGGGCTTTTTTCTGATTATGGATGACGTGTTGGATGTGTGGATGTGACGCACTCTGAATAAAAATGACACAGTGCTAATAACTTTCCATTCTTCAAGTGCCGTAAGTACCCTACTGGTTCAGCACTTCCAGTCATTTAGTAATTTAATAATTCCACACACACAGGTGTGGAATTATTTAGGATTTGCTGCGATATTGGAGTGTGGACACATTAACAGAGAATCCATAAAGCTGGACTTGTATCCTGGAGGTGGGCAGTACAGTGCCTGCACTCTGCAGGAGGGGTGGACTCTGAAGTAGAGTGCTTGCACTCTGTAAGAGGGGTGGAGGTGGAATGTATAGTGCCTGCACTCTCAAGGAGGGGTAGGGATGATAAATAAGACACTTGTGCAATAATTGGGTATCTTTATTCTGGTAACGTTTCGCCAGCCAGTGGCTGTCTCATTTATCAACTTGTCTGTTTTCTAAATCATTTATACTTAGGGGTGGAGATGGTGTGGTTTGTGACTTCTCCAAATATTTATCAGGACAGCTGTTGAATGAGTGATAGTGAATGTGTTTCCTTTATTGAACCACCCCACCTTACTAGAGAACTGGCCATGGTAAAAAGAGAATGTTAGGTAGCGTGTTTGCATTGCGATTGGTGGACAGAAGATCGAGTCTCTTCCTTCGGGTAAACAGAGACAGCAGGTGTAAGAATTATATTGCATTACGTCTTCTAATGATATCTTATTTTTCCCCTATAATCTACCTTGTCCATAATTACTATTGCATTGGCTTTGTCTGCTTTCGTAAGGTGAAGTTCAGGATCTTTCCTTAATTCATGGTATGACTTAACAAATCTTTGAGGACACTTGTGGGCTGTTCATGGAGTTTTGGAGGTTCGATTCTCCGTCAGCTAATCGTGGCCTGGTCTCCGATCAGTCTTGTTGATGGTTCTCCGATAGTGTAAAGGAGTTCCCACACCTCTCGCCCAGCCTGAGAATCGAACCTGGGTCCTTTGTGCAAACCGAGCGCCCTTCTACAGAACTAGTCTGTATGACCCATACTGGTTTTGCGCGTTTTAATAATAATAATAATAATAATAATAGTTACAATACGTGTAAAGTTTAAAAAAAATATTTTAACAGGTCTTTAAGATTAAGCAACCTGTAGTGTAATGGTAAAGTGCTCGGATTCGATTACCGAAATGTGTCCGCGTCTCTTTACAACTGATATCCTTCTTCGCATAGCAGCAAATAGGTATATCTGAGTGTTAGCCGATTGTTATGCTATCCTGGGAGGTGGCAGTATATCTTAGGGTTGGACTCTGGAAAGAACCGATGTGAGACAAAAATTCAACTGTCCTCCTCAACCTGTGTCCTACCCACTTTGTGTCCTCCTCAACCTGTGTCCTACCCACCTTGTGTCCTCCTCAACCTGTGTCCTACCCACCTTGTGTCCTCCTCAACCTGTGTCCTACCCACTTTGTGTCCTCCTCAACCTGTGTCCTACCCACTTTGTGTCCTCCTCAACCTGTGTCCTACCCACTTTGTGTCCTCCTCAACCTGTGTCCTACCCACTTTGTGTCCTCCTCAACCTGTGTCCTACCCACTTTGTGTCCTCCTCAACCTGTGTCCTACCCACCTTATGTCCTCCTCAACCTGTGTCCTACCCACCTTGTGTCCTCCTCAACCTGTGTCCTACCCACCTTGTGTCCTCCTCAACCTGTGTCCTACCCACCTTGTCCTCGTCAACCTGTGTCCTACCCACCGTGTCCTCCTCAACCTGTGTCCTACCCACCTTGTCCTCGTCAGCCTGTGTCCTACCCACCTTGTGTCCTACCCACCTTGTGTCCACCCCACCTTGTGTCCTACCCACCTTGTGTCCTACCCACCTTGTGTCCTTCACACCCTGTGTCTTCGCTCCTACATGTCCTCCTCTCGTTGATTACAATTTATTATTGCAGGCTATATAGGAGGGCATTAAATGAAGGGGCATCAAGTAAGACTAACCAAATACCAATAATTGTGGGTGTGCCAATGTGACTTGCATTCATCCTTACTGATTACATCTGGCTTACGGCTGTATAATTAGATTAGTAATTATGATGCAGCCAGTGGCTGCCTCAGACTAGTTCTTGTGTCCAGTCTGCTCACCTGCACCCCCCCCTCAAGGAAGGTTCCTTGATGTTGGTGAGGGGCTCTTGATTTAGGGAATTGGATCTGTGCTCCAGTTCCCCGAATTAAGCCTGAATGCCTTCCACATCCCCCCCCCCCCAGGCGCTGTATGATCCTCCGGGTTTAGCGCTTCCCCTTTGATTATAATAATAATAATAATCACCTGCACCCAACCTGTCAGCTCCGGTCCTCTCAGCTTCAGGTCAGCCAGCACCAATTTTGTCATTTCCCGTCCTGTCAGCACCAGTTATCTTGTCAACTACAACTGAAGTCTCCTGGCAGCTGATAAACGCTGTGTGAATTATTTATATGACATGCATGTTACCTGTAGCCGCTGCGGCAGGGTCACCTCCCCCGCGACGCGGTCCCAGACCAGACCTCTTGGTTGCTGGCCTGATCGAACAGATTGTTGGTGCCAGGCTTAATGTTGGTGAAAGGATTTTTATTTGAGGAATTGGAGGTGCTCTCCCCATCCTTAGATTAAATCCGATTACCTCCAGTTCCCCAGCAGGTGTGCAAGCCTTACAGATTTAGCGCTTTTCTGTGAATAATACAAAAATGCTTTAGTCATCTGCGGATTTTTTTGTTATAAATTTTAATAATTTGTACAAGACTGAAATAAGTGTCAGTGCACTGTCCTGAGCCTGTACTCACCTATTTGTGGTTGCAGAGGTCGATTCATAGCTCCTGGCCCCGCCTTTTCGCTCCAAGAGCCTTATCGTATCTCATCTTTCAGCTATGTATGGATCTTGCCTCCACTATCACTCTCCAGATTGCTACACTTCCTGACAACTCTAAGGCTGAAGAAATGCTTCCTAACATCCCTATGACTCATCTGAGTTGCTACCTTCCAGTTGTGTCCCCCTTTTCCTGTGTCCCATCTCTGATACATTCTGGCCCTGTCCACCTTGACAATACTTATCATTATTTTATACATCGTTATCATGTCTTGTCTACCTCTCATGTCTTTCAGTGTCTTCAGGTTGAATTCCCTTAACTTCTGGTCATAGGACACCTTTTAACTCCAGGACTAGTTTTGTTGCAAACCTTTGCACTTTCTCCAATTTCTTAACGTATTTGACTAGGTGTGGGTTCCATTCTGGTGCTGCATACTCCAATGGGCCTGACGTACAATGTCTTGAATGACTCCTTACTTAGATGTCAAAATGCAATTTTAGAGTTTTCCAAGTGCCCATACCTGGAGTTTACCTGGAGAGAGTTCCGGGGGTCAACGCCCCCGCGGCCCGGTCTGTGACCAGGCCTCCTGGTGGATCAGAGCCTGATCAACCAGGCTGTTGCTGCTGGCTGCACGGAAACCAACGCACGAGCCACAGCCCGGTTGGTCAGGAACCGACTTTAGGTGCTTGTCCAGTGCCAGCTTGAAGGCTGCCAGGGGTCTGTTGGTAATCCCCCTTATGTATGCTGGGAGGCAGTTGAACAGTCTCGGGCCTTTGACACTTATTGTATGGTCTCTTAACGTGCTAGTGACACCCCTGCTTTTCATTGGGGGATGTTGCATATGCTACAGCAGTTATTTGGTTAATGTGTGCCTCAGGAGATGTGCTCGGTATGATGCTCACCCCAACATCCTTTTTGAATGAGTTTTGCAGCTTTTGACTCCCCAAGGCTGTACTCTGTCTGCGGTCTTCTTTGTCCTTTCCAAAGCTTCATGACTTTGCACTTAGTGTCAGCACAGTCTTGAGCCTGCATCGGCACAATCTTGAGCCTGCATCGGCACAATCTTGAGCCTGCGTCGGCACTGTCTTAAGCCTGTGTCAGTACATTGACTGCGAGATGTAACAGCTGTAGTTTGCTCACCCCACGTTGACCACCACCATAACTTAATTAATACGAAATATTAAACTTCTCTCGTATTTTTCTTTGATGTAAACCTCGCTATGTCCATCTCTCACAGTTGATTCATTCGTAGACACTACGATGCCCCCCCGGGTGCCGTAGAGGCATATCAAGGATTGGAAAATGCAATGGGGGACGTAATATTGTGAAAAATAAACGCAGGAGTGTTAAACTTGGAGTGGGCAGCCTGGGGCGGTTCTTCCCCGGTGCAGACGGATTCTACGTTCAGTTGACGATCACTTTCCGTGTGGGTTGGTTGTGCGCCGCTCGCTCCTCAGGTATTATTGAGAGTATTGCTTCAAAAGTTTTCTGATAAGTTATTGTAAGTGCTTGATGTATTGAGTTAGTGCAGGAGGAGGGCAGTGCATTGTGCAGGTGTGACCAGTGTGGAGAGTTTTCTCATAAACAAAAGTTTTTTTTTTATCCCCTAACGAGGACTTCCACTGGATATTTTTGAGACCAGAAGTGCCTAACATAACAGGTAAGTTGATCCTCATTACCGTATGTTGCTACCTTGATGCCCGTGAGGTGGGCTCTTGATCCAGAAGAATCATCCCTGTCCACCCCTATGGTCAGACTTGTCTTCCATTCCCCAGGGAGGGTGTGACCTCCCCCCTGCGGGCTTACCGCTTCCCCCGGAATATAATAATAACGATCACCGTATGTTACCAGTCACCTGTCTCGTCGTATCATCCCGTCACGGATGATAGTTTGCCGGATTTTTCTGTTACGTTGACAGAACCTTACGACAGGTGAGGTTCAAGGTCAGTATGACCCGCCCCAACAGGTTCACTCCAGCTGGTAACTTGTATTGTGACTTTGTGTGTGTTTGTGACCTGGTGTAGGTGTGGGAGGGTGTTAGTATGTAGGTATCCCGGTTGTGTAGGTATCTAGGCTGATAATTCGTGAGTACTCATGTTGCTAGTACGTAGGTATCCTGGTTGTTAGTATGCAGGTATCCAGATTGCTAGTGGGTATGGACCCAGGTTGTTAGCACATAGGTATCCTGATTAGCATGTAGGTACTCAGGCTGTGTAGGTATCTAGGTTGTTAGTGGGTATGGACCCAGGTTGTTAGTGTGTAGGTACTGCACGTTGGTAGTGTTGGTGGTGAAGGGCTCTTGATCCAAGGCCCCAGAAGGAAGGCTGTGTATTTTTAGGTAAACACAATTTGTGTATTGTTGTTTAGCATAGGCTGTGTTTTAATTAACATTACCTGTATTTTGTAGGTTTATAGATGTTTGTGTTAAGTAAGTCGTGTATAACATTTGCAAACCTCACCTTATAGGCCAAAGAGTTATCCTTCCTACCTTAAGTCATTTAAAATCCCAGGACCTAGCTAAGGCATACTGTACAAACTCCTCCTCCCCTCTTCAGGATGCGACCTCATGTACCTGTTTATTGCTAATTGAAAAGGGAAAGGTAGAAAGAAACTTGTCCATACGTCCAGTCCCAGGACCAATTATGTACCTCTGTAATCTTTTGACTACCGCCCACAGGATGGGTATGGGGTGCATAATAAATATATTAAACTAACTCGTACATCCTACACTTCCTAGAATCGACGCGGGTCACAATTGTTGGGAGTCGAAGGCTTATCAGTGATGTACGAGTGTAGGTTACTGTACCATGCATTATCGTTGTTAAAGCGAGGTACAGTATAAAAATGTCTTCTCTTATGGTTACAGTTAAGTACTGCATCACGTGAAAATACAGCTGTGACCTATCTTGAAAGTTCCATTAAGGCCAAACATTCCTGCTGACGCCTGATCACTCTGGGTGTTACTGTCAGCGGCCTGCATGCTTAAGTAGGCATGACAGTTAGTTTAATATCTTTATTATGCACCCCATACCCATCCTGTGGTGGTGTTCAGAATATTACAGGGGCGCACAATGAGTCCAGGAATTGGGCCCCAAAGTTTTGATAGCTGAGCAAGTTACAGAGATAATGTAGGCATGACAGCTGATCCGATACTTACTGCGGAAATTTTTATCCTTTTCCTTTCGAAAACTTGTACTACCTTTCTTCCGGCAATATTTCTTATATCTGCTGGTAGAAAGTTGAAGAGTCTTGGACCATGGATGTTGACACATTGTTCCTATTTGCCTATGACACCCTTGCTTTTATTTTACACTTCAGGTCCCCTATATATACATCTACATGTATATATAGGGGACCTGATCCTTAAGTATTAGCCATTAGAAAACTTTGTTGATATTTGTAATTTTTTTTTTGTATCTTGGATTGAGGAAACTTTCGTGGTTACTTTGGTAACGTCTGTAAGAGTGAAGATTTCAGGACCGCGTTTTACAGCAGTAAGACTCGGATGGAAACAAGACATTTACCCGAAACAAGTGTTGAACCCATTCCCAACATCCTGGAATGGTCTGGATAATATCTAAAACCCTTATCGGTGTAAGTTCAAAAGAAAGGTTGCCTCGTAATTCGACGACGGTGGAGATGGAAATTCAAGTGTGTAGGTACAGATTTGACCATTTTATGTGTGAGTTGCTGTATAGCCCTTGTGGCTTAGCGCTTCTTTTTGATTATAATAATAATAATATGTGTGAGTTATACTACCATTAAATCACATTAAATAAATCTCAGTTTACCTCTTCAGTATTTAACGGTTGATGCACATTACGACCAGAATAGTGCCCATAAGTTTTGTTTGTGTGTGAGCAAATTTGTAAGTAAAGTAAAATAGTTAAAAAAAAAAAAGCATGGAATCGTTGAAATCCGTGTTATAACCGATGAATGACTTTTTTATTTATTTCAAATTTTCAGCACTGGTGTCCCAATTTGTTGTTGTTGTTTTTAATAGTGATATTCATTTATATTCATCGGCTTCACAATATCACAGATGATGCATTCTCTAAGACTAAGTAGATTGATGCTCCATAAATTTAATATAAGTGCAAATTTGAAATTTTACTGAAATTGTTGAAACAAAAAAACTTGAATTGTTGGAATGAAATCATTTACTGGAGAATGCCTTTTCGAATTGTCTTCAAACTTTCAGTAATAAAGTAAAACTTGGCATTAATTCTGATGGTCTTCAGACTCTAACAGCCGGTATGTCTTAACTGAAAGTATTTTAGCATTGATCTTGGGCTGTGTGTGGTTCCTAATTTTCCAAATTTGACTTCCATAAAATCAAATTAAATTTCCTTAAAAAAAAAACTCAATATTTTTTCTCAAAGGATTGTACAGAATTTTAGGTAGAATGTAAATGAGAAAATAAAATAAAATAAAAATTCGCATTTATCATGACATTTTTAAGTTTAACATTGATGGACTTTACTATTTTCGGAACATTCTCAGCAATTTTTGTTTCTTCCAAAATCTTCGTGTACAACTCGAGAACGCATTATTTGATCGACTTCAAGTTTCAGCAATGGTTTACTGTATATAGGGCAAAACTCAATTAACTTTATTGGATTATCAGGTTATTCTAAGCTAAATTTACATGATGTAAATTTATATGCACATGTGTGTTAACACCATTGTAAAATATTTGAACGTTTTGTACCCATAGTTTTAATAAAATTAGCTAAATTACTTAGATATATCTTAAACCTTAAGTGCTGGTAAATCTTATAGAAAAGTATAGATTGCCATTTTTTATGGAAGAAACTAGAAAAATTGAAATACTGGTTTTCATAGGATAATTGCTGAGTGCCTCACCCAATTGTTTCTACTATTCAGCGCTGATAATTTGATAATACAAATTCTGAGCAGCTTTAATGCCTCTACAGTTTGGCTTCAACGCTGATGTTTCTTAGGGAATGTTTTGAACGAGTTTTGGGCTGCAAATGTCATAATTTGCTATTTTTTTTTATTGAAATCGGGATATTAGTCTCTGTGTGATAACTTGCAAACAACTGTAACTCGCTTCAACTCTTCAGTGCTAATATTTAAATGCATCAGAAACTTATTCTGCACACTGCACTATTTTTTGGCATACATTAACGTACAGGGGTTTGTGGTTATGGTTATGAAATTAAGCCAGGTATAGGTAAAGTGCTGATAAAAACAAGGCATACCTTACTCGTATTGATAGAGTGAGGGTACAGATAACTCATGAAGATTCAGCGAGGGTACAGAGAACACATGCATATGCAGTAAAGGTACAGGTAACACATGCAGATACAGGTAATACGTACAAGTACAGTCAGGTTACAGGCACACCACAAATCCCTTTCAAAATATATATATATATATATATATATATATATAATATATATATATATATATATATATATATATATATATATATATATATATATATATATATATATATAATTTACGCAGCCGTTGTAGTGGAGGGCAGCCCTTGATTACTCTTGAAAGCGCTTCGAGTTCCCTAGGGCTATGTTATTTCCCGTGCCTTACGTTCTAAGACTTAGCGGAGACCCTCCGGGACGTGCACACACACACACACACACAGACACACACACACACACACACACACACACACACATGTAGTTCCCATTTTCAAAAAAGGAGACAGAAAAGAGGCACTAAACTATAGACCTGTGTCATTGACGTGTATAGTATGCAAAATTATGGAGAAGATTATCAGGAGGAGAGTGGTGGAGCACCTGGAACGGAACAGGAGTATAAATGCCAACCAGCACGGATTCACGGAAGGCAAATCCTGTGTCACAAACCTTCTGGAGTTTTATGATAAAATAACAGAAGTAAGACAAGAGAGAGAGGGGTGGGTTGATTGCATCTTCTTGGACTGCAAGAAGGCCTTTGACACAGTTCCTCACAAGAGATTAGTGCAGAAGCTAGAGCATCAGGCGCATATAACAGGAAGGGCACTGCAATGGATCAGAGAATACCTGACAGGGAGGCAACAACGAGTCATGGTACGTAATGATGTATCACAGTGGGCACCTGTGACGAGCGGGGTCCCACAGGGGTCGGTCCTAGGACCAGTGCTATTTTGGTATATGTGAACGACATGACGGAAGGGTTAGACTCAGAAGTGTCCCTGTTTGCAGATGATGTGAAGTTAATGAGGAGAATTAAATCTGATGAGGACCAGGCAGGACTTCAAAGAGACCTGGACAGACTGGACACCTGGTCCAGCAAATGGCTTCTCGAATTTAATCCTGCCAAATGCAAAGTCATGAAGATAGGGGAAGGGCACAGAAGACCACAGACAGAGTATAGGCTAGGTGGCCAAAGACTGCAAACCTCACTCAAGGAGAAAGATCTTGGGGTGAGTATAAACACCGAGCATGTCTCCGGAAGCACACATCAATCAGATAACTGCTGCAGCATATGGGCGCCTGGCAAACCTGAGAACAGCATTCCGACACCTTAGTAAGGAATCATTCAAGACACTGTACACCGTGTATGTCAGGCCCATACTGGAGTATGCAGCACCTGTTTGGAACCCGCACTTGATAAAGCACGTCAAGAAACTAGAGAAAGTACAAAGGTTTGCAACAAGGTTAGTTCCAGAGC